TAAAAATCAGATGTTAAAATCCCCATTTAGGTTAGTAACAAAGTTGCTAAAACAAATTATAAATGGGTGCCCAAAAACTCATATGTCCAATTACCTTATAGTCTTTTAAATGCATCTTGTAATCTATCTGACATGAAATGTGAACAAGTTAATTATGTCGATAAGAATAGTAAACCCAGTGTTTTTATGACCTGGGTTCCAAAATCTAATTAATCCCGCACATGGTGCAGGAAAAGCTATGGAGGAATATCGTCAGACCTTGGTATGTCGATAGTGGCTGTTCCAGGCACATGACAGGAGATATTTTCCAACTGCAAGACATTCAAAACTTTAATGGGGGTTATGTTTCCTTTGCGGGAGGAGAAGGTGGAAAGATCACACAAAAGGATACCGTGACTAATGGCGTGCTTAGCTTTGAAAATGTGAATTATCCTCCCGAGTTGAAACACAGTCTGCTGAGTGTATCTTAAATTTGTGATAAAGGCTATTCAACTCATTTTATGAACAAGGAATGTCTAATTCTGAAGCCTGGAATCATCATTCCAGAAGAATGGATTTTGGTGAGTTAAAAAAGAGAAGGAAATGCCTACATCATTTATATAAACCATAATATTCCCTAGCAAGTTACATATCTTTTCTCCAAGGTTTCTGAACACAGTGCTATACTTTGGCATCGTCGACTCGGTCACACAAATGCCAAGAACCTCAAGCGTCTTGCAAAAAATGATATTGTGTGTGGTCTTCCAATTAAGGACTTCATTGCTTTTGAGAAGTCTGTGGTGTGCTCAAGGAAAACATCATAGTAAGCCACATAAGCCAAAACTAGTCAACTTAATCAACACTGTTCTTCAATTACTGCATATGGATTTGTTTGGTCTGGTCAATGTTCTCGGTATTAATAAGAGTTGTTACTGATTGATTGTCATTGATGATTACACACGGTTTACCTGGGTTTTCTTCTTATCCAACAAGAGTGACACTACTGACCTGATCAAGAAATTCATTGTGTTGATTGAAAATCAGACCAACGAAAAGGTGAAGGCAATTCGAAGTGACAATGTCACGGAGTTCAAGAATGCTATTCTGGATCATTTATGTGCTGAAAAGAGTATTTTGCATCGATATAGTGTTGTTCGGACACCTCAAAAAATGGTGTTGCAAAACTGAGAAATCGTCCTTTGATCAACGTAGCAAGGACAATGCTTTGTGATTCTAAGCTACCAGTCTTCTACTTGGCTGAAGCTATCAACATTGCATGCTATGTTTAGAACCGACTTTTGATCAACAAATAACAGATGAAGACCCCGTATGAAATTCTATATGGTCACAAGCCAACGGTCGCTCATTTTCGAATTTTTGGACGTCCTTTCACCCTCCTTCACCTGGAGTCCAACCCCAAGTTCAACATGAAAGTTGATGACTGCTACATCATGGGATATTCTTCATGCACTGCCTATCTAGTGTATAACAAGTCCACTAAGAAGATTGTCGAGTCATTTGAAATGCGCTGGCTGGAAGAGAACAAGACGAATGCTCGAGTCGCGCCTGATTGGTTGTTTGATTATGCTTCATTGTTTAAATCTTTGAATGTGTTTTCAGATACTGTTTCAGGTTCCAGCGTAGGTACAAGTGGTTTTGTTGAAGATGAACAGGAAGATGTTGTTATTTGTTCATACAAACCTCCTCTAGTGACTCTTGAGTCTCCTATGGTAGATGAATATGCTCCAAGCACTTCTCCTTCTTCACCAAGTCAAAAGACCAATTTTGATGCCGAAGCCACTTCCATTTCCCCTGAAGAAAGTGAAATCATGTCAAGGGATATCTCTGCTGCTACAAAAACGTTCATGGAGCTTCTCTTTCCTGACCCTGTCTCAAATGAATATGTGGCAAGTACCTCTCATGGTCCTAGATCATCTGAGGCGAGTGATTTGGTAGAAGACAGATTCATCAACATCACCAACCTTCAAGTCTCAATCCATTACATCAACCATGAAAATCCCAACAGAATTCAGTATGATCATCTGATTGAAAATGTCATCGATCCACTACCAGAAGGAGTTCAAACAAGAAGTCAAAATGGAGATGTCAACTCATGTCTCTACTCATGCTTCATATCTCAGATTGAGCCTAAGAATGTATACGTGTCTCTTAATTAACCAAGTTGGGTGGACGTTATGCATAAAGAATTGAACCAATTTGACAAGTTAAAGTTGTGGAAGTTGGTTGAGCTATGAAAGGGAAAGAAGTCATTGGATACACATTAGGTATTTAGGAATAAGCAATATGATAGTGGAGTAATTGTGTGAAACAAGGCGCGTTTGGTTGTTCGTGACTTCCGGCAGATTGAAGGTCTTGACTACACTGAGGTGTATGCTCCTCTGGCTCGCTTGGAAGCTATTCATATCTTCTTGGCATATGCTTCCTACATGGGGTTTACCTTTTATCAAATGGACGTCAAGACCGCCTTTTTATATGGAGTCGTGAAGGAGGAAATCTACGTTGATCAACTCCCAGGGTTTGTCAATCCAAAATTTCCAAATCATGTCTAGAAATTAGATAAGGCTTTGTATGAGTTACATCAAGCTCCTAGAGCTTGGTATGCTACCCTGATAGATTTTATGATGGAGCGTGGATACACAAGAGGCACAAACGATCAGACGTTGTTCATAAAGCAAGTGGATAAAGACTTGATTGTCGTCCAGATCTACGTGGATGACATCGTATTAGGGTCAATGAGTCCTGTGCTGGGTAAAGAATTTGAAGAAGTCACGAAAAAGAGATTTGAAATGAGCTCACTTTGTGAAATGGTGATGTTTATGGGGTTACAAATTCATCAAGATTCATCTGGAATCTTGTTGCATCAGGGAAAATATGTGGAGGATATTCTTGAGAAGTTCAGGTTCAAAGATTCTAAACCTGCCTCTACACTTATGGTTGAAACACCCATGTTGGGACCAGATCCAGAAGGAGATTCCATAGATAAATCCGAATATCGATCGATGATCGGATCTCTTATGTATTTGACTGCCAGCAGACTTGACATTATGTTCGCTGTCTGTCAATGTGCTAAACATCAGGCTAATCCTAAATGCTCTCATATGATTGCTGTTAAAAGGATCTTTCGATACCTTAAAGGTAGCCCTAAATTGGGGCTATTCTATCCTAAGACTCCTAAATTTAACCTATATGCTTTCGCTGCCACAGGTTGTGATTTTGATAGGAAATCCACTTCAGGCATATGTCAGTTTCTGGGGGAGAGATTGGTATCTTGGCAGTGCAAGAAACAGCAGACGGTGTTGACCTTGACAACTAAGGCTGAGTATGTAGCTGCATCAGCCTGATGCTCTCAGGTTATCTGGATTCAACACCAATTGCTGGATTACGGTTTGAACTTTCTTGACATCTCTATATTTTGTGATAATGGTGCTGCTATAAAAATTGCTAAAAAATCCTGTTCATCATTCCAAAACCAAGCACATCGATATTAAAATTCATTTTATCCGAGACTGTTATGAGCGCAAGCTCATTCGTTTGGAGCAGATCTATACCGTAATAATGTGGCGGACCTATTTACCAAACCATTCAGTAAAGCTCGATTTGATGTGCTTGTGGGCTTTCTAAAGATGATTTGTTTTGAAGACTAAATTTCTTTTTAGTTTAAATTTGCGTATTTTATTTTATTTTATTTTCATTCCTTTTTTCTCCTATGCACAAATTTAGGGGAGAAATCAAAATAAATAAATAAAAAAAACTAAAAATTTTCAAAACAAAAATACAAAAATATGTCCTTATAATTTTTTGTTTGTAGGTGTTATTCGGGAAGCAGTACTAAATATGAGTGATAACGGGCAGTCTAAACAAGTGTAAGGTACTGAAGCTGAATTGTGTAGACTTTATGCTCAACGTGCTGGTAGACATAAAGGATTAAAAGAAAGGACTGGACTCAGTGACAAATGAAAAAACTTAACATAATAAAATGAAATTAGATTCATCTAGATTGACCATACGATTCTCGGGTAGATTGAGCAGTGAGATAAACAAGGGAAACTACATGATACACTTAAGTTACTTTTCTACTGGAACTGTGGCTCAAATCTTTGCTGGTATATGGACTCATGTCCTTAATTCCGGTACTGATAGGGCGGCTGGGGGTTCTGATAAAGTAGGTTTGTAGGAAATTATTTTCTTTCTTTCTATTTGTCAGTCATATGTTGCCTCGTTTGCGCGATTAGAACATAACCGACCTGAAATGCAACATATGCAACTCTATTTCTATGCACCTCCTTATATATGCAATTCTTTCTATCTATTAGCCATATGTTGTCTCCTTTGCGTGATTGGATACGATCCAACCTGGAACACAACATATGCAATATTCTACCTCTCAATCCCTCTATTTGTGTTAGTCACATGTTGTCCCCTTTATGTGATTGGAAGTTATCTGACCTGGGGCACAACATATGCATCTTTTCTCCTAATGATTGACTACTCATCTAAAGTAAGGAGCTCTTTGGAAGCTCTTGATTGTCGGGGTATGTCGGGAAGTGGGGAACGCGTTCTAGTACACCTAAAATTGAACTGCTTAAATGGTTGTTTGTAGATCTCGCTGCTGAACTTAAGTGGACAACAATATCCTTGATCGTTGTCAGCTACATGGCCAATTTAGGAATTTGATCACAAAAGTCTTGTCACGTATAATCTGTCAAAATTGGTAAAAATGTCCTTTGTGTTTAAGTAGATCATAATACCGATGGTTGACCTGATAAATTCATGCAGGTGTGTGCTGAAAAACAAAGTTAAGATTGTTTTAAAACTTATGATCCCAAAGTGTTTAAATTTTAGTCTTGAAGTGTGGTTAGTGTTATTTTTAGTTTTCATTTTATTTTTATTTTCTAAAAATTAAATTTTGGGGTGAGGCCCACCGAGTTCATGGGCCGAAAACCCTAACTAGGGTATAAAAGGAGGGATTTCGGCCTTCCCCCTCATTTTTCACGCCTCCACCGAAATTGTTTTTTCTTTCTTTCTCTCGTTCATTCACGTTTTCTGCTCAAATCCATCTACTCGATTCGTCATCTTTTATGTGTTTAATCAAAAATTGTTCACTGAATCATCATCGTAAGTGGATTGCGAGTGCTGTACAACCGATTTTGTTGAAATCTTTGCAGATTTTAGGTGTTGATTGTCGATTTGGACGAAAGTTTTACATCGATTTGGGGTTTATGATTTCGGCTAAAAACCAAAATTCAAATATTTTTGATTTTCAGTGGAATGATTTCGGCCGAGAACCCAAAATTCACGGGTTTTAGGTTTTCGGTGGGACATTTTCGGATGAAAACCCAAATCCAACCGAAAATGGACAAAATAAATTGAACTTTGACCACTTTGACCAAAATTGTATCCCGTGCTTTGACCGAAAACATTAAACTTTCACTATTTTGACCAAAATCGACTTAATTTTGACAAATTTCAAGCCCAATTCGAGCCTGTTTGACTTTGGTTGACCGAAATCAACCTTAGTTAATCAGAATTTATGTTTTGAGAAAATTAACTTTATATGTTTAATTTTTCTTTTCTCACTTGGCTCGTTTGGTGAAGATAAATGGATGATTTGAAATTTGTTGAAACTTACCACATTGTAGGATGTCTTTCTGATCCACCACTGAGCGATCAGGCAATTAAGTCCATGGCTCATGGTCTAAACAATTGTAGGATCAATCATGCTCTTTAAATGAATCCTATCATTTATGAAGACCTAGTGAGGGAGTTCTAGGATAAGGCTTCTTTCAATAAAACAGGAGCAGATGGTGTAGGTGTTGTAGAATCAACTGTCAAGGGGGAGAAGATTATCGTGTTGAAACAAACAATTCGTGATGTTCTTAGGTTTGGAGATCGGCCTGAATTCCCTATTGAGATATCTGCTACTCAGATTAGGGAAGTTCTTGAACGAATGGGCTATGAAGGAACCTTTCCTATAACCTTGAAGAAGTTGCTCCCTCCCTACTGGCGCTTTATTGCTCACAAGTTTGTAATCTGTATTTCAGGTGGGAAGGGGGGAGCTGATGAGATCTCCCAATCATCTACCGGTTCCATAATTTCTCTCATCATGTATTTGAACTTCAACTTTTCAAGGTTTGTGTTGAATGAAATGACGAGCAATCTACAATGGAAAAAGAAGGTTGTATTCATGATGTATCCAAGATTTCTACAAATGATCTTTGATGATAAATATCCTGATTTGGAAAGAATAGGTGAATTTTTGGATTTGAAGTCTTTGGGCCCAAACTCTTTTGGATTAATGAAGCAAAATCGCAAGGGCTCAAAGGTTGTGTTCAGGGGAACAAGCCCTTTAGTGAAATTTGGAAAATTTGCTTAAATTGAAGACGATCCCGAACCAGAAGATGTTTCAGTTGAAGAAGATGAAAGTACTTTTGTTCCTTAACCTGAGGTTGTTCCTGCTGTCAACCCTCCTGTGGCTATTGTGGCAGAGAAGCATATGCCCTTTCTTGATGTTGATGTTGATGATGATGATAAAGGAGAAGATAATGATGAAGAGGGTGATGCATCATGTTTTAATGATGAGGATTTCATGTTTAAATTTGAGCCCAATGATGATAACATTCATTCATTCTTTGATTTTGATGAAGTTAATGATGTTGTGAGTTCTCAAACAGAGACTGATGGAGATACTAACATTTTCAATCTGCTAATTTAAACACCCGCTCAGATGGCAGACATTATAGCTCAATTGGATTCAACTGCAAGGATTCCTCCCCGAGCAGTTGCTACTCCAAACATTATTCCATATGAATGTGATCTTGAAGAGTCTCAAAGCCTCCCAGCCGCCACTGAAACGAAAGCAAGTTGATCCTAGGCCGAGAGTGCTTATTAGGGAACAAACTCAACCTACTCAACAACCAACCCTAACCAATGAACCATCCCAACGAGCTCGTGTCGAAAGCAAAATTTTGCATGAGGGGCATAGTTTTGTTCATACATCTTTTGAAGTAGGAAGCTCTTCAGCTCCTGAAGGTTCTTCAGCCCCTCAACCTGCGCACGACGCAACTTATGAAAGGCTTGCCTAGTTTCTTGCCCGAGAAAGTGTTGATCCTGCACCCAAAGGCAAAGGCATATCAATTGGTGCAGGGAGCTCCGATAATGAAGATCCAACATTTTTTGAGCTCTAGGAAGAAATTGGGGTTTTAAATCAAAAGCTTATTGAGAAAGATGTCTTGATTGGAACTCTGGATGTTAGAGTTTCCGAGCTTGAAAGAGAAAATTCTCAAAAGTCAAAACAATTTCTGATCTGCAGCTAAATCTTGCTGCTCTTACTGCCAGATTTTTTTATTTGAAGAATAAAATGATCAGTGAATTTGACGACAAATTCAAAACATCTGTCAGTGAGCCTGATGAAGCCAATGTCTCCCGAAGTGTACCTGCCCAAGCACCACAAGATGTTCCTCTTCAGGCCAATGTAACTCGTATCGTTGACCGATTTGATATTGAACCTGCTAATACTGATCCCAGAGTAATCTTGAAGCGAGCTCAGAGGCAAGCCAAAACTCAAGGAAAAAGTCAATTGTTTTTCATGAAAAGCTCCGATCAAAATGTTCGTGGAGATCGGCATCGAGTTAGTGTCACTGAGCACAGTAAAAGGAGATTTTCAGCTAAGTATGCCGATCAGTCGAGTATAAAAGTGTGGGGATTTCACGACAGGAAGAATATATGGACGGTCAAAAGAAATAGTGTTATTGTGGAGTACTACAAGCATCAAAATAACTTTAGTTCTTAGACTAAGGTTGATCTTATAGAATTAGCTAGTGCTCCCTTCCAACCCATCGAATGATCCTCGTGGAACTAAATTCAAACTCTTTTTGGAGAACAAAGTAAAGAGAAATTTCGATAGGATGAAGACTGCAGATTCTTTCGTGAAGAAAAGCAACAATTTTGAAGATATATAGTAAAATATCTTACGTCATATCATTTCAAATCACTTGTGTTTTAAATACATTACCATTTTAATTATATAAATAAATAAAACAATATTTTCTATATTATAAAATTGATTAAATTTGATAGGATAGATATTAGGTTAGTAGAGGGTATATGGTCATATCTATATATAAATGTCAAGGTACTGTGGTTTCTTTAAAACAAAGTCATTTGTAGTTTCATCTTCAGATATTTTTCGATGATTCTTTTAGTTGTTAACGTTATTCTCTTTTGCCTATATGCGTCAATTTGTTTATGCAGTAGCCAAGGAACAATAAATCCGCCAGAAAAGGTGTCGGCTGTCCTAGCATTCGGGGACTCCTTCCTTGATCCTGGGAATAATGACTACATCACGACACCGCTCAAGGCAAACTTTCTTCCATATGGAAAGGATTTTATGGGTGGAAAACCAACTGGAAGGTTCTCCAATGGAAAAAACATAGGCGACTTTTTCGGTACCTTTTTATTTTCATACACTCTTTGATGTTTTTTTCTTTTTTTGAAAGAGTACACTCTTTGATGTTTTTATGGCTAAAAATGGAATTCTAGTATTTTGAACCATTACCCCAATCATCAAATTGAACTTAGTATTTTGAACCATTACCCCAATCATCAAATTAATCTGTAGTCTAAAAATAAATCATAGCACATTTTAGCAACTGAAAAGCCCAGCACAGTCTTACTATTCTTTCATGTTAAATGGGCAAATAAACCCGTTGTGACTATCAATGAACTTTAGCTCTTTCGACAAGCAAGCACTGCCACGTGGATTAATAACAACCACCAATTTCAGACGTTCGATACATTACCATCGTTCATGGTGCATTGCTAATCGAGTTGTAGTCGTGGATGCATTTTTTGTATCACTCATATATTGGTGTTTATTCTTGTTCGAAGTTCTTTTTAGTAAACTATAAAGTTTATATAAACACCCTAGCTACTCCATAAAAGCTCTATTCAAATAAAAACCACATCGCTAGTGTTAATAATATAAACCTAACTACAACACCCTACTCCATGAAAGATCAAGTTGTCTACCAGTTTTCATGGCTGTATTTTTGCATTTATCATATTCGTTTTTATATTCATGTTTATTCTCGTTATTTTTTATTAATTTTCGTAAAAGAAATTTCTATAGAAAATACTACTATTTTTACTCAAATCAAATAGATGTTCCATATCAAATCAAAGCACAATCATATAGTTAGAAATAGATATAAGAAAAATATAAATCTAACAACAAAGCAAAGTATTTGGGAAGCAAATATATGACATTTCGCAACATCATCTTTAATGTCAAATTATCATTTTCATGCAGAAACTGAGCACTTTCTCTTAATCTAAATCACTAACAAAAAATATCACGATGAATATCAAAAGTAAACTAAATTATAGAACATATTACCGTTACTTCCAAAAATCATCAGAATAGAAACAAAAATAAAAAGACAACAGTTCATTATACAAGTATACTAATGTTTTACGTGCACTAGTCTCTAAAGAGTTAGCACAAAGGATTTAGAGGGATGTCATTCATGTATATAGTAGATTCGTGGTTGTACGCTTTTGTATTTGTAACTAACAAAACTGCAATTTATTGTTTCATATCAAATAATCCTAAGCCGAAGGATTAGGCGTCAAGGAATATCTTCCAGCATATCTCGACCCTTCCTTACAAGACAACGATCTTCTCACGGGTGTAAGTTTTGCTTCCGGTGGCTCTGGATATGATCCACTAACAAGCACCGTATCGGTATGCATACATATCTTATTTTTAATTTCTAAAAATACTTATGTTTTACGTGTTATTTGTACGAATGTATCTATTTATATGCCCTTATTTTTTTTTCACTTGTTTGGTCTCCTTCCAATTAGGCTGCTATACCAATATTGGACCAATTGAATTTGTTCAAACAATATATTGGGAATCTCACAAGGATCGTTGGGGAAGAAGCTGTGATGAATATAATGAAAAATAGTGTATCTTTGGTATGTTCAAGCACAAATGATCTTGTTATATCTCTCCCAGCAAGAAGCATACTAATTGATGTCCCTACTTATGATCGCATGTTGGTAAACTTGACCTTGAATTTTATACAGGTATTTATACCCTTACTTTTCTTTGCTAGTAATTATATTATATTTACTCATTTAGACATTGCTATGCAAGATGAAAATACACAAGTAGAAGGTGATTGTTTCAATTAAGGTTTTGGATGAAATGCACACCTTTAAGTGATAATAAAATAAATAAATAAGATGTTTGAAAAATGACACCGAAAGATGGACTTTTATTATGTGAACATGAAAGACATGTCATAAATGATATTACAAACTTATAGATTTTCATCAAATTTATTGAAGGAACTATACAAACTAGGAGCACGAAAGATAGTTGTCTTTAGTGCACCCCCGACAGGATGTCTTCCTATAGAGAGAACATTAAATGGAGGTATACTTAGAATGTGCGACCAAAAAGAAAATGAAGCAGCACAATTGTACAACAACATGGTAAAAGAACAGCTCCCAGTTCTTGCAAGTAATCTTCCTAAATCAAGGATTGCTTTGGTCGATTTCTACAATCCTCTAATAAACATCATCAATAACCCTCAGCAATATGGTATCCACAACATCCACTACTTAATTTTCACGTAACTTTTTCACATGTGCGCGCATTTCAATAATGTTTAATTATTTTCTAACACATTCTTCCTTTTCCCAGGTTTTCAAGTTGTTAATAGAGGCTGTTGTGGAACTGGATTGGTAGAGGTGTCTTTTTTATGTAACAGGCTTAGCCCAACGTGCCCAGACGACACTAAATACTTCTTTTGGGATAGTTTCCACCTAACAGAGATTGGATGCAACATATTTGTTAATCAGACTCTACCAAGTTTGGTGGATAGTTTGTTCTAGTATAGGTTCGATCGTGTGACATAGATTGTGCACACTTGGTCACATAATTAAATAAAACAATGGAAATGTATTCGATTTTAAATCTGATTAATGTAAACTTAGCCTTTGTTCGGCAGATCAATATATTTATGTTTACATTTTAATCTTTGTTTCTTTTAATTGGCTCTTATTACTCTTTAATATCAGATTCTACTCTGCAAATTTTTCAATATTAGGTTAATGTGTTAGTTATTGTTTACCAATTTTATAATGTTTCTCAATCACCTTTATTACATTTTGTGGTGATTGTAACGAATTACGACACATTGAGTTTATGATAGACAATTAAAGTCGCATTACATAAAAATAATGTCATCTATTGTAAAATCTGAAGGATTTACGACTGACTTAACTTCCTCTTGTAAATATTGTCCTTTTTTGAATAATTTTACAACATTCAAGAATGCATATTTTGTTTTACTTTCATATATCAAAATAAAAAAACACGCATGATGCTTTTTCACTTTAGTCTATCTACTTCAAAAAAGAACTTTCATCTTTTCATATTTGATGAAATACTTGAGGACTACCTCCTAGCTACTCTCTAGGTCAAGAAGCACAAGAAATCCACGCCTCCATGAGTTCCTCCTAAATTCCTCTTTCTCTCCTAGATCTCAATCATGACACTTCGTCCTTCATTACCGGCAGTCGACACAACCACATATTGACATAGATGCCTCCATAACATGTTAATCACACTACAAAAAAATATGTAATATAATGAAATAAAAAAAAGTGCCACTAAATTCGAAAAATAGATGTAACGTCCCAAAATTACCGGTTAAAAATTTCATTTTTTATTTAGATGAAAACATGAAACATCATTACAAACATTCATGATAAAAATCCAACTCTGAAAAACCGGTGACATCATAATCAGAATTCAGAGTACATCCCAGAAAATCTACAATGCGGAAAACAAAAGGCGTATGTGTGATGTGCTGCTACCGCGCCGGCTCATTTCCGTTAGCTGAGGAAGTACCTGAAACAACAACTGAAAAACGTAAGCACAAAGCTTAGTGAGTTCCCCCACAATATCCCATACCATGCAAGCATATAACAACAACATTCAACTATGAGATGCGGACCCTTGCCCACACTCGTGAAGATACGGGCCCTGCCCACACTTCGCTTACTGGGAGATACGGGCCATGCCCACACTCGGGAAGATACGGGCCTTGCCCACACTTCGTTATCTGGGAGATACGGGCCTAGCCCACACTCCACTCTCGAAGAGATACGGGCCTAGCCCACACTCAACCGCCAACTCATATCATACAATTATCACGCAGACAACAAGTATAGACAGCTCTATCCTACTACCATATATCGCAATCACTCCATTAAGAGATACGGGCTCGGCCCACACTCTAATACTAACGTCTCGTCTATACGGGCCAGCCTTGGTGCCTTAGACCCGTTACTACTGAAAGGAAACTCACCTCGAAATAGCCGCTGGTGTGTGTGGGAACCGACTGTCTGCTGCTGTTGCTACTCCGGAAATCCTCCGGTTGTAATTCCCACAACATACTCAATTAATCAATATTTAATGCCTTTTTTGGTGAAATGACCCTTTTACCCACGACCATGCCCTAAGTCAAAGTCAGAGTCAACTTCCAGTTGACCCGACTCGTCGAGTCTATGTCCAAACGACTATCCAGGATTCTGTTTCTACTCGTTGAGTTAGGCGTTCACTCGACGAGTTCTTCGTCCAAACTGATGTTCAAGTCCTTCATCCTACTCGCCGAGTTGTATGAACAACTCGTTGAGTCTGATCTTGATCTAAGGAGATTGTCTTGAACTCGCCGAGTCAGGGCATCGACTCGCCGAGTTCCATTATGGGTGAGTTTTGGCTTCCAACTCACCGAGTCCCTCCTGGACTCACCTCGCGACTCGACATAACAAAAAGGGTGCAAACCCGGAGACTCGCGACTGGACTCACCGAGTCAGATGAGCGACTCGCCGAGTCCGTTCCATGCAAGAGCTAAAAATGCGATTTTGCTCGAATCCAATCCATGTTATTTGTAGATCTGGGCTCCTAGAGCATGAATAACACGTAAAGTCTCCAACTTTACGTGTAAATATCCATCTATGGGGCTTTTACGGTTTGAAATGCACCAAAAGAGTAGATCTAAGGTTTATGTGCAATATGGGCTCATAAAGGTAGTGGATCTGAGCTCCTGGAGCTCAACTATGCTTGGATCAAGAGACCAATCGGCTTATTTCGGAACATTATGCACATACAAGTTTGGGGAATGGCTCAAGAATGTCTTAAATGAAGCAATAAGCATGGAAACAACGGAAAAACGAGATATACCTCAATGGAACTGCTGAGAGAACACAATGGTGCTTGGATAGCTTCCCCTTCTTCTGGATCTACTTCCCTTGTTCTTCAAAACCTTCAAAAACACCAACAATTGCTTCAACTCTTCAAAGAACAAGCTTAAACGAGGGTTAGGAGCTCTGGGGGGTGAATAGGGGCTGGCTTGGGGAGGATATGTTGCTTAAATAGGGTACAAACCCCTGAAACTTAGGGTTTCATCCAATAGCGGTGACTCGCCGAGTCCAGGATATGGACTCACCGAGTCGCCAACTTAAGCGTGTCCCGTGTCTCATCCCTACTCGGCGAGTCGAACCTATGACTCGCCGAGTCCAAGGCTTAAAAAGGAAAAATACTCAATGAAGATTTACATACCAGGAACTAGGCGCTAGAAATCTCTCCCACTTATTTTAGACTTCGTCCTCGAAGTCTACTGCTCGATCCTGGAACAGCTCGGGGTAATGCTCCATCATTTCATCCCCCGGCTCCCAAGTCCACTCCGAACCCTTTCGGTGCTTCCATTGCACCTTCACTAACTCCACCCTTTTGTTCCTCAAATCCTTCGACTTCCTGTCGAGGATCGTGACTGGGCTCTCAATGTAATTCAGCCTGGATATCCTCCAACGACACCACTGCTGAATCATCCACTAAACACTTCCGCAGTTGAGAGACATGGAAAGTGTTGTGGATCTGGCTGAGCTCGACTGGCAGCTCCAATCTATACGCCACTTTGCCCACCCGCGCTACCACCCTGAACGGTCCGATAAATCTCGGGCCCAATTTTCCCCGCTTCCTGAATCGAATGACGCCTTTCCAAGGCGACACCTTCAGGAGAACCATATCCCCGACTTGGAACTCCAAGTCGGATCGACGTTTGTCGGCGTAACTTTTCTGCCGACTCTGAGCAGTCTGAAGCCTGCTCTGAACCTGTTGGATCCTCTCGGTCGTCTCGAGCACCACCTCGGTGCTCCCCATGACTCCCTGGCCAACTTCACCCCAGCATATCGGGGTTCTGCACCTCCGCCCGTACAACATCTCGAATGGGGGTCGGTCAATACTCACGTGGTAGCTGTTGTTGTATGAGAACTCAGCCAAGGGAAGATAGGTATCCCAGCTACCACCGAAATCTAACACACATGCCCGCAATATATCCTCCAAGGTCTAGATGGTCCGCTCGCTCTGACCATCCGTCTGCGGGTGAAAGGCGGTGCTAAAATGCAAACGAGTGCCCAACTCGTCATGAAACTTCTTCCAAAATCTGGAAGTGAATCGCACATCTCGGTTTGATATCACTGACACCGGCACCCCGTGCCGCGACACTATTTCCCTGATGTAGATATTAGCTAACTTCTCGGCCGAGATGCTCTCCTGGATCGGAATAAAATGGGCGCTCTTAGTCAATCGATCCACGATGACCCAAATCGAATCTACTCCGCATGCAATCCTGGGAAGTTTTATGATAAAATCCATCGTGATGTCTTCCCATTTCCACAATGGGATGTCCAACGGCTACATCTTCCCATGCGGTCTCTGATGTTCGGCCTTGACCTTCCTGCAGGTCAAGCACCACTCGACGTACCATGCCACATCCCGCTTCATGCAGGGCCACCAATAATCTAGACGAAGATCCCTATACATCTTCGTCGCCCTGGGATGAATAGAGAATCGGGACTTGTGCGCCTCCTTCATCAAGATCTGTCGTACGCCTCCGTGATACGGCACCCACACCCTGCGGTGCAGTGTCAATAGTCCTCGACTATCATAATTGAAGGAGGAAACCTGATCCACCACACGTTCACTCTTCCGATGTTCCTCCTTGATAGCCTCCTGTTGAGCCTCCCGGATCTGCTCCAACAGGGGAGTCAGCACAGTCATCCTCATGCACATACCCCTGATTGATGCCGCCTTGCGGCTAAGCGTATCAGCCACCACGTTGGCCTTTCCCGGGTGGTAAAGGATCTCACAATCGTAATCCTTAACCACGTCCAACCATCGACACTGCCTCATGTTTAGATTCGGATAATCCATAAGGTACCTCAAACTCTTGTGGTCCATGTAAATGGTACATCGAACCCTGTAGAGGTAATGCCGTCAAATCTTGAGGGCGAAAACCACTGCCCCCAACTCCAAATCATGCGTCGGGTAGTTCGCCTCGTGAGGCTTGAGCTGCCTCGAAGCGTAGGCAATGACATGCCCTCTCTGCATCAATACCGCGCCCAACCTTGAAATAGACGCGTCACAATAAACCACAAAGTCCTCCATGCCCTCTGGCAGGGCTAAGATTGGCGCCTCGCACAATCTCTGTCTCAGTGTCTCGAATGCTGCCTGCTACTCGGGTCCCCACCGAAAGACCATGGCTTTTTTCGTCAACCGTGTCAGGGGTACAGCTATCTTGGAGAAATTCTGAATGAACCTCCGATAATAGCCCGCCAATCCTAGGAAACTCTGAATCTCAGATGGAGACTTCGGAACCTCCCATCTCATCACGGCCTCGACCTTGGCCGGATCGACCAGAATCCCGTTCTGGTTGACAAGGTGTCCGAGAAATTGCACCTCGCGCAACCAAAAATCACACTTGGAGAACTTGGTATACAAGCTCTCCCTCCTCAGGGTCTCCAAAACCTCCCTCAGATGCTCCTCGTGCTCCTCCTACATCTTGGAATAAACCATGATGTCATCAATAAAGACTATCACAGACCGATCCAACATCGGTCTGCATACGCGGTTCATGAGGTCCATGAACGCGGCAGGAGCA